CAGAGAATAGCAACAAAAAATTCAAAAGAAATGCATGTCTAACAAATTATGCACCGATTTGCATGTTCATGAGGGAAATAAGTATTGATCCCCTTCACAAACCACCAGCCTTTAGAACCACTTTAAATGATCTTGTACAAAAAATGCATTTTCTTATTGTGCTAGTGTGCCGTTCTTCTTAATCAAGTGCTAATATTCGTGTGCTCCACACCAGTGATCCCACTCACCAACTTTCATGGACTCTTAATAATGTATAAGAGTCTAGTGCACTTGTGAAAAGTTTCCAATTCGGCAGGGACTTGTGGTCCTCCTCTGCAATGATATCCTCTTCCAATTGATGTATATCAAAACAGCTTTCACAGGAATGTGGTTTCACATGAATACATAGAGGTATAAAAAAGGGGACCCACATAGTGAAATCCCGTTTATTATAAGAAATGAGACAATATAGATTGCGCTCACATTTAAAAAGCGGTATCCATCCATAAAAAACTGGAGAGGTGAAACGCGTCGATGGAAGCCTTTGGGGACATCACATCCGGCCGTTGGAACGCACGTCAGTGCGTCATTTCTGGACCAGCATTTTATGCTTGGATATCGCTTTTTAAAGGCAAGAATATTCGCACTTGATTAAGAACAGCACACTGGTACAATAAGAGACTTCAATTTTTGCACAAGATAATATAAGGGTTTCAAATAAGTTGTGCAGCGGGGAGCACAGCAAAAATACTTGCAATTTCCAATTAGAAGAACAGCAGTTATTTGTTTTTGCACAGCGTAAGTTTTTAAGATTGATATATGGCGTTGTTACTGAGTGCTGATTATTTACTCCAAAAGATTTCAATATTTCATTGAAAGGAGGGTCAGTACCTCTAAATAGAAGCAGAGCCATTTGGAGGATAGATAACTGATGGTGATACCTTAGTTAGCACATTCTATTCACGAGTAACCTTTCTATAAAAGCATTTATTAAAAATCACATGCTGTAGTGCGTTTTTTATCCGGGCGGGATGCTCCCGGATCAGGACGTCCACACACTTTGGAAGTGGACGTCCACACGATTATTTTGAACAAATATATCACGATTAATCACCTTAAGGTGATACCACCTATCCACATTTATTTGAAATTGCATGGCAGTATGTTTACTAATATGTATTATCATTTAGCGCTGCAGCGGCTTATTTGCAATCTATGGAGGTTTTTTTTGTCACGGTGTATCAGCTGTGTACCACTGGACACAGCCCATGACAGATCACTGGACACAGCCCATGACAGATCACTACACCAGCCCGCTGCCAGTGTCATTTGACCACTGTGACCGATCACATGACAGATCGCATGACACAGCAGATCACATGACAATTTTTTACATCCCAACCACTGCACCACCTGCCTGGAGTTTGCATGTTCTCCCTGTGCTTGCGGGAGTTTCCTCCAAATACTCTGGTTTCCTCCCACACTCCAAAGACATGCTGGTAGGTTATTTGGCTCCTGTCTAAATTGGCCCTAGTATGTGTACAGTATGTATGAATGTGAATTAGGGGATTGTACACCCCTTGAGGGTTAGGGACTGATGTGAATGTACAATATATATGTAAAGCGCTGCGTAAATTGACAGCGCTATATAAGTACCTGAAATAAATAAATAAAAATACAATGGATGGCTTCCTTTCATGCCATCCATTGTATACAATTGTGTTGTTAGCTGTGATTGGTCACAGCGGTCACACGGTACAGACAGGGCCAATCACAGCCCATCCGTACCATGTGATGAGCTTTGCCCAATCACAGATAATCACAACAAAAGACTGAATGAATCGGTTTCATTCAGTAAAATGGTTGCTAATATCAATAAAAGTACATTGGTATTAGCAATCATAATGTGTAAAAAAAAAAATATATCACTTTCCCAGAGTAGTACAATGTTACTATGGTAACATTTTATAGCTCTGGTCACAGTAAAAAAAATTGACAAAAAAATATAATGAATAAAAAATAATAGAAAAAAAATATTTATTTAGTTATTTATTTACTGTTACCAGTCTGTGTCCCTGATCACCACCACACCAGTTATATGATAACACTGTACTGGACTAATGATTAGTTAACCCTTTGGAAAAAATTTCTTCATTTTCCAAAAAATTGTGACAAAAAAATTACAACTTCAAAAAACTCGCCATGCCTCTTACAAATACCTTGGACTGTCTATTTTCCACAAATGGATAATTTGAGAGATATCTGTACTATCCTGGCGTTTTCGGGCCTTAAGAAATGAGATTGTCCATCAGTACATCAGGATTGATCGATATACGGTATACATGGTTTGTGGACTCTATAACTTTCCTATACACTAATTTGGGGTATTTTCATCTAAGAAATGTAGCAGAATACAATTTAGCCTAAATTTATGAAAAAATGGTATTTATTTGCAAACATAAATTAACAAAAAAGCAGGGTTTTTCTGCAAAAGTTTTTTTTTGTTTATTTAGCAAAAAATAAACTAAGTCGTGATTAAATACCACCACAAGAAAGCTCTATTTGTGTGAAAAAAATGATTTTTTTTTTCTGAATACAGCGTTGCATGAACGCACAATTATCATTCAAAATGCGACAACTGGGCAGGAAGGGGGTAAAGGTGCCCGGTATAGAAGAGGTTAAAATAAAAAGGTGGAGCTCCTAGCGTGGGAAATTAGTCCTAATATTCAAAACTGCTTGTACCGGAGAAATTGAGACAAATTACAGTATTTCAAATTTTTCATATGCGACATTTTAAAAACCGTTGCAGGTACTGACGAAAGATATCAACGATCTTACACACTGTTTTCACTGTCATCATTTCGATATTGAATCTTGACCTAAAACTCTTCACTAAGATCTTAGCACACAGATTACTACCATTAAAGCATCACTAAACCCACAACAGTACAATCAGTCTGTATATGTAGTAAAGCATGCTTGTTATACTCACTGTGGCAACCTAAGGGGTTAATCCTCTGCATTGTGTAAAAAGGCCATTTGATCCTTTCTTCTGTATTCCTCCCCTTTTTCAAGCCACCACCTCTTATCTCCAGACTGAACTGTAGGCATGCACATGCTCAGTTTGGTGTGTATTGCTAGAGAGGTTTTTTTTTTTTTTTCTTGAGAGAGTGCATGTGATCAGCACAGGGCCAATCAGCACTGTCCAGACAGAGTTCAGGGGTTTTGCATTCTCCTAGAGCATGGGTGTCAAACTGGTGGCCCTCCAGCTGTTGCCAAACTACAGATCCCATGAGGCATTGCAAGACTGACTGTTACAAGCAAGAGTCCCAAAGGCAGAGGCATGATGGGACTTGTAGTTTCACAACAGCTGGAGGCCGCCAGTTTGAAACCCCTGTCCTAGAGCAGAAAGAAAACTCCTACAAGCTTTAACCAGTGCTCTGCTTAAGCCCGTTATATACTGCTGATGAGAAAAGGTATTTAGCAGTTTATAATTACTAAAATAATTGCATTTCCATGTTGTGTGTACTGTGGGAGACCAGATATAGTGAATGCAGGGTCCTGTGAGACCAGATATAGGGAATGCAGGGTCCTGGGAGACCAGATATAGGAATGCAGGGACTGGAGACCAGATATAGGGAATGCAGGGTCCTGGGAGACCAGATATAGGGAATGCAGGGTCCTGGAGACCAGATATAGGGAATGCAGGGTCCAGGGAGACCAGATATAGGAATGCAGGGTCCAGGGAGACCAGATATAGTGAATGCAGGGTCCTGGGAGACCAGATATAGTGAATGCAGGGTCCGGGAGACCAGATATAGTGAATGCAGGGTCCGGGGAGACCAGATATAGGGAATGCAGGGTCCGGGAGACCAGATATAGTGAATGCAGGGTCCGGGGAGACCTAGATATAGTGAATGCAGGGTCCAGGGAGACCAGATATAGGGAATGCAGGGTCCGGGGAGACCAGATATAGTGAATGCAGGGTCCGGGAGACTAGATATAGTGAATGCAGGGTCCGGGGAGACCAGATATAGTATCAAATGCAGGGTCCGGGGAGACCAGATATAGTGAATTCAGGGTCCGGGGAGACCAGATATAGCGAATGCAGGGTCCTGGGAGACCAGATATAGTGAATTCAGGGTCCGGGGAGACCAGATATAGCGAATGCAGGGTCCGGGGGAGACCAGATATAGTGAATGCAGGGTCCCGGGAGACCAGATATAGTGAATGCAGGGTCCGGGGAGACCAGATATAGTGAATGCAGGGTGTCCATGGGAGACCAGATATAGTGAATGCAGGGTCCAAGGAGACCAGATATAGTGAATGCATGGTCCGGGGAGACCAGATAGGGTCCGGGGAGGACCAGATATAGTGGAATGCGGGGTCCTGGGAGACCAGATATAGTGAATGCAGGGTCCGGGGAGACCAGATATAGTGAATCGCAGTGGTCCGGGAAGACCAGATATAGTAGAATGCAGGGTTCTGTGGAGACTAGATATGGTGAATGCAGGGTATGGGGAGACCAAATATGGTGATTAGCAGGTCCTGGGAGACCAGATATGGTGAATGCAGGGTCCTGGGAGACCAGATATAGTGAATGCAGGGTCCCGGGGAAACCAGATATAGTGAATGCAGGGTCCTGGGAGACCAGATATAGTGAAATGCAGGGTCCGGGGAGACCAGATATAGTGAATTCAGGGTCCGGGGAGACCAGACTATAGTGAATGCAGGGTCCGGGGAGACAGATATAGTGAAAGCAGGGTTCGGGGAGACCAGATATAGTGAATGCAGGGTCCGGGGAGACAAGTTCTAGTGAATCGCAGGGTCCTGGCGAGACCAGGATATAGTGAATGCAGGGTCCTGGGGAGACCAGATATAGTTAATGCATGGTCGGGGGAGGAACCCAGATATAAGTGAATGCAGGGTCCGGGGAGACCAGAATATAGTGAATGCAGGGTTCGGGGTGACCAGATATAGTGAATGCGGGGTCCTGGGAGACCAGATATAGTGAATTGCGGGGTCCTGGGAGACAGCAGATATAGTGAATGCATGGTCCGGGAGAGACCAGATATAGTGAATGCAGGGGTCCGGGGAGACCAGATATAGTGAATGCGGGGTCCTGGGAGACCAGGATATAGTGAATGCGGGGGTCCTGGGGGGAGACCAGATATAGTGAATGCAGGGTCCGGGGAAACACAGATATAGTGAATGCAGGGTCCGGGGGAGACCAGATATAGTGAATGCAGGGTCCCCGGGAAGACCAGATATAGTGAATGCAGGGTTCTGGGAGACTAGATATGGTGAATGCAGGTGATGGGGAGACCAGATATGGTGATTGC